CATAGTAGCTTGCCAGGCGTAAAAGTAGCAGTCACACATGCTGCCCCTGACAGATTATTCATAAAATGTAGTTAGTGGTTCTAAAGCCTTAAGGTTTTTCACCTTAATGCATTAAAGTGAAAAACCTTCTGTGCTGCAGCTCTCTCCGACAACCCCTCCCCCAGATGTCGTCTCCCTGTTTGTTGGGCACATTGATAGCATCAGGATGCGTTGGCTCCCGTTGCGGTCAATCAAATGCTGTGATAAAGGGCGGGGGGCTGAGCTGCCCTCTCTATCAATGGACGCAGCCAGGGCGGCTCGGGAGCGAGCCCGCACAGATACCCCCATGCAAAGCGGCTTTTAGTGGGGGCACCTGCTGAAGAGTAGGGACCCCAGAAGAGGATTGGGGTGCTCTGTGCAAAAGCATTGCACAGAGCAGCTAAATATAAACATGTTTAATGGAAAACAAAAAAAAAACAAAATCGAAGGTTTAATATCACTTTAGGGTGCTAACCTTTTCATAGGCTGCACAAACAGTCTAAAAGTGTTTTCTAAATGTAGCATCTGTGTCAGGATTTAGCTGTAAAAACAAGCATTTCTGCGAACGAGATTAGTTATAGTTGTTTGATGTGTTTTTCATTTTACCATTGATTATATATGCATTTCTTACTATTTTGTAATACACTTCTAAATGTATTACATACATCATCTCAAAGCAAATCAAGTGTGTGTTTTTTACAGGTAAAAAGTGTGAAACCATGCCTTAAACAACTTCAACAGTGCATTCAGACCATTTCAACTCTCCATGATGATGAGATCCTACCTAGTAATTCAGCTGACTTGTTCCACTGGCTGCCCAAAGAGCATATGTGTGTTTTGGTTTATTTGGTAAGTCTTAAAGTGTCATATTCAAAATGTAGCAAAACTGGTAGCCTTTCAGGAAGAGGCTTCCCACAAGTCATATAGAAAAACACGTATAACTGCCCTTCTCACCAAGTACTGGGAGCTCCTACCCATCATGTAAAGATCTAGTATTTTTTGTTTTTGTTTTGAATACATATTTTTCAGAGAAGCTCAATCTATGAATGGAGGAGGCAAACCTTTTTACTCATCTTCTCGTTCTCCATTCATAGATATTTTTCATTCAGCCTGGGTTCACAAATGTGCAAGGCCAGCTTGCAGCATGATTTCAAGCCCTGTCTAGTGCAAGTCTGTCCAGTGGTTTGCACCTGAACCAGGCTTAAAATTATACCGGACTCTTTTTGAAATCACACTGTGGCTGGCCTGCACATAAGTAAACCGGCTCCATAGAAAAGCTTTTTGATTCACATGTCTTGCGAATCAGATGCGGTTCAAAACACATCCAATTCGCATATATGTGAACCGGGGTTCATAGAATATTACCACTTGCCCTTCTGAGGATTTACCCTCCTTTCTAACCAGGCCATTTTTTGCGTTACGGCACCACGTTACTGTAACTGACAATTGTGCAGGCATGCAACGTTGCACCCACATGAAATTTGTCTTTTTTTTTTTTTTTTTTTTTTTTGCCACGAATTGAGCATTCTTTTAGTGGTATTTGATCGCCCATGCGGTATTTTATTTTTTGTGCTATTAAAAAAAAAAAAAAGACTGACAATTTTCAGATAAAAACAATATTTTTTACTTTTACTTTTTTTTAAAAATCAAATTTCGTCATAAATTTAAAGCAAAATGTAATCTGCTACATGTCTGCTAAAAAAAAAAAAAAAAAAAAAATCTAATACTTGTAAATTGGTTTATGTGAAAGTTATAGCATTTACAAATGGCGGTATAGATACTGGAATTTTTTTTTATTTTTACTAGTAATGGCGGCGATCAGCGATTTATAACGGGACTGCGCCGGGCATTCTGACACTGACTTGATGTCACTAACCTCCCCAGTGACACCAATACAATGATCAGTGCTGAAAACAAAAAAAGCACTGACACTGTACTAAGGGCACTGGGCAGGAAGTGGTTAACATGAGGGGAGATCAAAGGGTTAACTGCTGATTTACTTGTGTCTGTGTACTTCACTGTAATCACACTTCTTTGCATGGCTGTGCTATGCACAGACATCCAAAGCAGTGTGTACGAGCTGACAGGGTGGAGAACTGTATTGTCCACATAGAGTTTTCCTCCCAGTGGGAGATGCCTGGCAATCACCGGCCTGGACACACACACACATATATGTATCTGTGATTTTGTGCACCCGTGCTGCCCTGTAGTAGTATATCTATAGGGCGTTTGGGAAGCGGTTTAAAAAGATGAAGGGCAAAAGGGTGGACATAATCTGCACTCTCGTTGAGCGCATATGACAGGTCCCTTGACTGTATTAACCTCTGTGGCACTGGAAGCTTACAACAGCAGGGGTAGGGATTGTCCCTTTTTAAAGTGTTGGTAACCACTGAATTTTTGTTTTAACCTACTACTTACTTACAATAAAGCTTATCTGTAGGTTAAAAGAATATCTTAACGGTGCACATTTAGGAGATATTCAAAGAAGCAGCATTGGTGAAGTCACTGGCGCATGCTCTCTGAAAGAACAGCATGCCTCTGTTGTTCCTTCTGAGCTCTGCGGCGTGGCCGTGACTCTTATGTGGGAGTGATGTTATCTCAGCTCGGCCATTCAAACGGCTGCAGCCTGTAATTCCAGATGGAAGACCGGATGAAGATGGAAGCTTCTGCAGTAGTGACAGCTTGTCACTGGAGGGCTTCATTTCAAACGAAGTCTTTCCTTATGCTAGCTGGCGATGAATACTAGCACATTATGCCTTTACCCTGCAGAGTTTGTGTGTCTGGTTTTGTTTTTTTTTTTTTTTTGGTTTTTTTACCTTTACTACAGCTTTAGGCTGTGTGAGCTTGAGCCCTAATTATTTTGGGATAATCAAATTACGTCTAAGGATCCATGCACACTGGCTTAAAGCGGTAGAAAACCGCATAAAAAAAACACCCTCTGCACGATAAGGGCATAATGTGCTAATATGCATTGCATACTAGCACATTATGAAGGACTTACCTTGAAACGAAGCCCTCCAGTGGAGCTCCCTGGGTCTTCCATCTTCACCCGGTCTTCCCTCAGGGTTTGCAAGCTCTGACTGGCCGAGCTGCAATGATGTCACTCCCGCACATGCGCACGGGAGTCCCAGGCCATAGCACAGTGCTCTGATGGAACAGCACAGGTATGCCGTTAATAGGAGATATTCTACCCACAGGTAATCTTTTATTATAAGCTTGCTTGGTGAAATTATTAAAGAAGAGTTTACTACCACTAAATATCGCTGCATTTAAAGGAATTTTTGTGTTTTTCCCGTAGAATCAGCTCAGTGTTATCCTATGTGTCTGTACACATTAGGATGATTAGAAGCATATTTTTAAGCTCCATGTTTAGAGGCAGGAAAAAAATAAACCCTCGTTTGCATTTTTGATTGGAGCTTTCTGGCAGAGAAAAAGCTAAACTGGTCTGAACTGTGTACAAAAACACTGTACGTAAGTGCTTTTTTTTTTTTTTTTTTTTTTTTTTTTTTTTTTTTTTTAAGCCCAACCTGCATGGAGGCAACATTTAGAATAGAATTGGGGAAGAGTTGGGCACTCTGTCAGGTTTGAAATGCTGTCTGATGCTTCAGGGTATTGAGTTTGTTAAAATGTAAACAAAAAAATTGATACATTGTTTTAGCTACAAGTCTAAGGAGCCACACACTACAGTGTAGCAAAATGTATGTTTTTTTTTTTTTTCCCTCCTTCAATGTATGAACTATCACCTAAAATGTAAAAATGACTGACCATTCAGTAAAAAGCAGAGTGCAGCTATGTGAAAGCAGCAATCCAGCTCTCCAGTGTGTTGCCAACAGACTGGTTTTTCGGTGGTTACCACACACATTGGGCTTTAATTGGTTAATATATTTTTTACATTCCTCTTTTCTGTTTTACCTTGCAGGTAACAGTTATGCACTCCATGCAGGCAGGCTATCTTGAGAAGGCTCAGAAATACACAGATAAAGCTCTTATGCAGTTAGAAAAGCTCAAGAGTAAGTATAGTATGTACTAACTGTACTGTCTGCATTTATAAACCATGCGGTCGTATTTCAGTTTGATTGTTGGAAAAGTCAAAATTTAGTTTTGGTAAGTTTTCCTCCCTCTTGGTTCCCTTTTTAGGAGGGTGGTAGTCACCAATAATTGAATGTTTCTACTTTCAGGCAGGAAGTGTAAAGTCTGTTTTAAATCCCCACAAACCAGTGGTTTTAAAGTGCTCTCAAGCAGTGTATAGGCTTGGCAATATGCTGAACTTTATTTGTACAAAACAGTCTAACTGATGTGTTGCTTTTCAGTGCAGACTGTGCCACAGAGGTGCAAGATAGCCCCAGGAGCCCTAATAAAAGCATCTTGTTTCCAAGGCCAGGGTACACTTTTTTTTTTGCAGTGAACTTCTCAGGGTGAGCTGCTACATAGGCATTATTTGATGCATTTGGAACATTTCACTCATCTGGGCTTAATCATAGGATTTAAAGAAATAATTTGTGCATTGTCTAATAAAGATTTTTGAAGAAAGTGCCATCTTCTGAGTGCGACCTTGGTTTCAAAACCAATTGGCAGGGTTACTGAAGGCCAGGGGATACCCATGTTTATTAGCAACATGGGGACATGTGATTTGTTTCTACTTTAAGCTATCATTCAATAATACCTCAGCTCCCCAAACCTTTTAGGAAATTTCAAGATCATTTGATAAATATTTAAATACTTCACAAAGTCTTCGGAGACTTTTGAATGAAGAAGGTACAGCTTATTTCCTAAAAGTACATGTCTTTAACAGTTTTTTCCATTCTCAACATAAATGATTGACCTTAGAATGTAAAGAGTAAACCTGTACTGATATTATATCAGTAAAGTATCCACGTGTTCTCTATAGTAACAAAAAAAGCTGATGCACCACATGCAGCCAAGTTCACTGGAGATTCTGTCATTTTAATTGCAGTGCTTGACAGTAGCCCAATCTTGTCCTCCTTCCAAGTCATTCTGCTTGAACACATAATCATGTGCCGTCTTGTCACAGGCCACAAAGCTACAGCCTTACAAGAGGTAAGTAATGGATTGAAGCCACTCAGCAGTATGTTTTACGTGTGTTTTGCCATTTTACTTTACTGTTCTTGTTTTTTTACTTAGATATCTCAAGTCTGTCAGCTATGTCAGCAGTCACCCCGTCTGTTTTCTAATCATGCAGCCCAACTCCACACGTTGTTGGTAAGTATTAAGCTTGTAGAGTTTCTGTTTCCATGTTCACATTTGTTTAGGAGAAACTGGTCTTCAGATGAAATGGAATAGTGATTGAAAAAAAGATGGTGGGGTTTGTTCTGAGTATCGTGTCATTTATTTTAGCATGTTTATAGTATTAAAATCTCAAGACTGATGTATAGAAGCATAAACAGAAAAAGAGCAACCCTGGGGTTGGTTACACACAGTTCCCACAGTGGTTCTAATGCCGTTATTGTAGGTGGGACACGACAAAATAGTTTGACAAAATATACTTTTTTTTTTTTTTTATGCTGCCAGTGCGGGTACAAGGGACATGCTGTAGTCTTTAATAGTATAGGTGGAACTCATTTTCAAGCTTATCACAGTGGTCTACAACTGTGAAGTTGGTATTTAGCTGTTTGTCTAGGGGTATCCAGGCTGCCCTGTCATGGACAGTTTAAAAGACATATGGCCAAAACTTTTCTGGCCAGATTTCTCTTGTGGGTCATAGGAGTGCACTTTAGTGAGGACCCTCTGCTCAGAGCTGATCAAGAACTGAACAATCCGTGTTCTTCTGAACATTCAGTTCTCAAGCTTAGAGCTGCAATGGGACAGCTACAGCATTGGCTTGATGCTGCAGTATAGAGATGAATCGGGCGGACTGACAACTCATGGGGTCCCCGGGCAATAGGGGATCATAGGGCCCCTGTGTCCTTGCCCAAACTCAAAAAAGCCTATGAAAAAGGTACCAGGGGCATCTCATGGGGCCCCCTACTAACCCTGGGCCCTCGGGCAGTGCCCAAGTTTCCAAATGGTCAGTCTGCCCCTGAGATAAATATAGAGGTTTGTTGAACAACATGAAATTTTCTCCTTTTAAGCACTTCATGTGAATCCATGCGTTATACATGCTAGGAAAGGTAGTATGTTCGGTACTAGAAGGCACTCTGATGCTTGTACCCTCTTCCACTTGCTCCCACTTTTCACTCTCTGGAGGTCTAGTTAAAAGCAAACCAAAAGTACTTCTGGATATGGTAAAGCATGTGATTATTTGCCCTGCATACTCTAGAGCTTGTTGCCTTTGTTAACTATACGCAGGTCTGAGCACCTCATGCCCTTAGTCCTCAGACCCAATATGATATTTTTTTTTTTTCTTCATTAAGGGACACAGGAATTTAAATACTGTTGAATTATTTTACTGCTGTCTACACGAGGATTGTACACTGGCAAGCAAAAAAAATTTTTTTTTAAGGCGAACTTCTCTTTTAATGGTTTTTGGTTAAGGGAGCATTTGTATCTCTGTTCCCTTATTGTCCCAGCTCAGCTTGCTCAGAATAGGGGGATATGGCGTATCGGTCAGCCAGAATAATTTCCTTCAAAGACAGCTGGCTCCAGTTCCTTCCTCCAAAGTCTTTTTGTAGGCCATTTTAAGTGTTGAATGAATTGTGTGACATTAACGTCATCCACAAGGTTGTTATTTTCTCTTGAACTGTAGAACAGGCATACTGTTGTGTAAATGTGGGGCGGGAATTTTCAATCTCACTCAAAAAGGAAATGTTCTAGCGTTTGTAGAACGTTGGCATGATGATACCCTTAAGCAGCAGGGTAGCCAAACTTTGTACAGCCAATGTTGTATGCAAACAAGAGAAGGCCTTAGTACAGGCCTATGACTTGAGCTGAGTGGATTGGTGCATGTATTATTTATATAAATATATATATTTTTTTTATGGTTATGCTGGTTAAACAATATCCTATGCTTTTTTGTTCAAGGGTTTGTACTGCATTTCTGTTAACTGTATGGACAACGCGGAGGCACAGTTCACAACAGCTTTGAGGGTGAGTTTAAAGCTTTACACATACATGAAAATAGAAGATTTCTACTTGGGTAATTTCATGTATTTGCTCTTACTTTGATTGTATTACACTTGCTGAACATAATTTTTTAGTAGTACAATATTTGAGTGTTGAGATTGTCCTCTTATGGTGCGATTTGGTTTTTACAGCTTACCACACATCAGGAGTTATGGACTTTTATAGTAACAAATCTGGCAAGTGTTTATATTCGAGAGGGAAACCGACATCAAGAGGTGAGCAGGAATCATCCCTTATGGAAGCCAATACATTTTAGGGTATAAAACATTAATAGGATGATTGTCACATTTGTGAAGGCTGGATGATTTTTTTCCCCCTATTTTGTGTAATAGATTAATTTCTATGATCATCTGTTCCATCTAGTGACCAAAAATGTGCACCCAGGAAAAAAAAACCTATGTAGAGCACTGGGCTTTCTGGGAAAGCTAGTTATGCTCTTTTTTGTTTAAACTTTATTGTGTCTTTTACCCATCAAGGAACCTCTAGACCCAAAGATTGGCGGCATCCGCCCGTAGTCTAGTATATACCTGGAAAACTCCTGGCCCGCTCCTACAAATCTTGGGATTTTTTTTTTTCATTAGCTTTATTCACTACTATTTCCCATGCATAGTTTTTTATTTCTCAGTTCCATGTTTCCAGAAGATTGACATTCAGCTGTTAATGAGAAATTCCTATAGTTCCAGTAGGAAAGGCGTTTAGGATTAATTCACAAATTTTGATTTGGTCACTTACATCTTGGAAATATTTGGAAACTCTGGCTTGCAGATTGTTATTCAAAGTGGATGAAAATTCTGACTTGCCAAATGTATTGCAAGCATTATTTTACAAGCCATCTCTTTTAACTTGATCACATCAGCGAGATGGATACATATTTAAAAGAACCCCCCCCCCCCCCCCCAAAAAAAAAGACAAAATCAACTTTTTAATTACATTATTACTCAGGTCTTTTTTTTCTTTTTATGGCCAAAGTGATACTGGTCAGAATATTTAAATCCCAACTCCACTATTTTTAATACATTTTTTTAAAGTGAGAGATAAAAGTAAAGGGGGGTGGGTAATTAAAGCTCTGGCTGCTTTACCTACTATTGAGGGTTACCTATTTTCTGCCATGGGATTTTGCCAGAGTTTTAGGTTGAATGATGTCCGCCATCCTTCAGCGCAGTTTACATGAATCAAGGCCATTACTGATATACCCCCTGGATGCTGTGGCAGTACAGTACTACTGAACAGTGCAGCTCTATCATTTTTCTTTTTGCTGCCAGGCTCTACAGGAGTAAGTGACACAGCTGAAAGACCATCGAAGAAAGGATATGGTTTGTGTGTTTTTTGGGAATAGTGAGTATGGATTTGGGACTTAAAGAGTAAAGCAACTTTCCTAAAAGTTTCCTTACCCTTTTGCCCCCAGTCTACCCTTGCTAGCTTAGTAAGCAAACGAGTGACGTTTTTTTGTTTTTTCTTGCGCCAGCCTGTCGTATTGTTTATAAATTGTTTTTGTTTTAAAGAAGAATTACAGGAAGTCTTAAGTCCCAAAAGGTTCTCATGTGGAATGTTGTGTTGCTTATCTGGCCAGTTATTTTTAATTATTGAATGAGCAAGATAAGTTGTAAAGTGTGTATTGCTCTTAGGATCCTAACATCAAAAGGCATCTCAGTGTTTGTAAATCATAAATGTTCTTTATAGGGATGCACCGATACGGAGTATTTTCACGAGTACTCATGAAAATGCATCTGATACTGGAAACCTATACTTGCAGTGCGATTTGCGTCAATGCAAATTGCACCGCAAAGAATAGCATGCGATTTGAACAGAAATGCAATTCCTGTCTAAATCGCATGTGGTTTCCCCACTGCTGCTGTGCGAACCCAGGCTTGTCATAGCCTGAGCTTACACAGGAGCAGTACAGGAAACCTCCCTGAATCGCTCCTGTGTGAATGCTGCTTATGACAAGCTTTGGTTCACACAGGAGCAGTGGGGAAACCACATGTGAGTTGGACAGGAATCGTTTTCCTGTTCAAATCGCATGTTATTCTTTTCGGTGTGATTTGCATGAATACAAAATGTATGGACACAAATTACATCACAAAGTATTGGTACTCTGTATTGGCGAGTGCTTGATTGAAAGTATCGGTACTTGTACTTGCCAATCAAAAAAGGGTATCGGTGCATCTCTAGTTCTCCATTAGATTTCGCTTGAAATGTGGGTGGATTGTTTCAACAACTGTTTGCATTTAATGCTTGCTATGTTTAGATATATTTATATCCAGATAGGGAAAGTACTACTCTTCTTGACTTTGGGCTTTATGAAGCAGTGGGTAACCTAAGGTTGTCCTTAGTTGGATTGTTTTGGGGGGTTTTTAGTTCTGCCAGTTGGCTGAAAGAAAAGATAAACATTTTCCTCCATCCACGCAGGCAAGGTGGATAGAAAAATCCTCCCTGCCTAAGACATTGTATTCTGACTGCGAGGACTGCCCACTGTCAGAATACATTGAGCAGCTGCTGCAAACGCTGATTGAGAAAAAATTTCCTACAAGCACATTCGACAGAATTTGATAATCTGGCTAAATTTCAATCTATGAATAGCTAGCTAAGGCAGTGCAGTTATGCTTAACAGAGATGAGGAGGGTATGTGCTTTACATGCTATAAGCCAAACGGTTTGTTGTGTATTAGTAGTTTTTTTTTTTTTTTTTTGTTTTTTGTTTTTTTTATCCCCCACACACACACACACTCCCCGATTTTTGGCTTTAGGTATCTGCTACAAGAAATATTTTTATAAGTATTTGGAGGGTGAATCATCCAGATACTAATCATTGTTCTTTCTGTTAAGACAAGTATGTGTGACATTGTGATTTAGCACCTTACAGAGTTATATAAAAGTCTAGGGGAATCGATTCGTTCCTTTGTCAGTGAAGAGGTCAGCTGAGTGTACTGTACCAAAATCTCTTTGGAAACTCAACCCGTCTTGGTTAAGGCTAATCTCTCTCCCATGTTCCTATTCTTCAACCACTGAAAGAGGCTTTTTATATTAATTATAGGTCTACATGCCTGCTAATTAATCTGTGATGCAGCTAAGGCCTTTTTAAGAAGCTTATCAATTAAAAACGTAAGCATGGGAAAGAGACATTGATGATAAAACCTGAGCAAAGCAGAAATTGACTATTGGTAATCCTTGTGAATCTACCAAAACAATCAGGCATTTTAGCTAAGGATTTGTTAAAAAAATAATTCTTAGTACCAGGGCAGAAAACACCTTTATATTCTCCAAAGCTTGAGGTTTTAAAGCCGATCTCCAGGTTTCCTGTCACTTTAAATAGTTTGTTTGGACCAAGCTGGTCCAAACAAACTATTTCCTTCACTAAGTGCTGTTCTGACTCTAACACTGTATGTTCTGCATGTAGCTTCAGCTACATACAGTACACAGTGCTATGTTCCAGCTGTGAGACAGAAACTTCCCGTCTCACACATGGAACAATATAGAGTCTGTCTGAGTGGTACACAGCCATTCATAGGCAGCTTTGTAGTCTGTGAAGTCTGTCTCACAGCTGTAACCCAGAACTGTGTACTGTATGTAGCTGAAGCTACATGCAGTACATAAAGTGCTTAGAGCCAATGCAGCACTTCGTGAAGGAAATAGCTTGTATGGACTTTTAAACTTTGGAACCACTTTAAATCAGTTTCAACAAGAAGGTTTTTCCACAAATAAGATAATACACAGCACCCCATAGCGCCTATACATACATGGCGCCCCCCCCCCACCTCCATGCACCACCCATTGAAATGCATGGAAAAAATAAAATGCATGGTGTATTGTGTATTAAAGTGCCTTGCAATGCACTTTGTATTGAATATCAACTTACATCATAAAAACATGAGTGCTGTGATGTATTAATGTGCATCATGACGTGCTGACATGCATCTTAACATATGCAAATAACGCATTGCACAGATGTAGGGCACATTTGACTGTAGTGCGTACACAGTGGTGTAAAGATAACTGTATTAAGACACATGGATACAACAGTTGGTTAAATAAGACTTTATTTGGACACACATGTCAAAAGAATTTCAGTTTTTTACAGCGAAGATTATTTGAAAGTTGAGAGAAGAGACTTGATATTTTTACTTTGTCTCAGTTGTATTTGCATACACTTTAATTTATGTTTTTGTGGAAGTACTAATTTTGAATGTTAATCACATATAAGCATTGAGTTTATTTTCGCCATTGCTTTTTAACCTACACCTTTTTTTTATGGTTTAACACATGTTGATATGTATTTTGATGCTTTTCTATTCCTTTTAATTTAAAACACTATAAGCAAGCACACAAATGTGTGACTACAGTGTTGGACACTATTTACGCTTTTAGACGTTTTTAATGGGTAATATGTGGAAAATGTTGCAGCCACAAACCCAAGAAATATTAGTTCCACTGGAGTAGTTGTACAATATCTCCTATGCTTAGACAACTTTATAGCACTCCTTCCTGGCTAGGTTACCTGGATAATATATCATTTTAAAGATTCTGAGGAAGATGATCATAATTGCTTCTAGACGATGCCATAGCATTAATTACTCTGTCAGCAGAGGCATATTGGACTAATAAAGAATATTCTTATATTTCCCTATATGAAGTTTGCACAGTAAAAACTGGGACCAGAGATGTTGCTACGAAGTCATTTTGGATGGCACAGAAACCACTTAAGTTTCTACACACATTCATAATGAGCTGAATTAGTCACAAATCTGAGAAATGTTTGTGTGAATTGAAAATAGCTGGAATGAAAAATAGAGGAATATTTTTTCCCTAGTACAGCTGGCTTCCTTGTGGTAATTTCATCGATAATTATTGCTGCTTTGTTAGCTTAAAGTAGTGTCTGTTCATTTAGAATAAATTTTATTCCGCCCCATAAATTATGAATGACAGTACACACGTTTTTCTACAAGTTGATGTATTTATAGTGGTTTATAAAGATTACTTGATGGTTTTTGTGTAAGGGACTGTGTATTACATTTTCCATTTTATAGAGAATGACCTCTGTTCTCTTGTGTAATGACACATGAAGTTAAGTCTGCTGCATAGAAGTGGGTGCAGGCACACCCAAAACTAGTATTGTAACTTTTTTCAAGTCTCTTCATTCTCTGGTGATCCATTTGTCAGTTGGATACTTGGGTGTAAACCTTATACTAACTTCATGTTGGCCAGAGTTGTTGTGTACAGTAGATATAAAAAGTCTACACACGCCCCTGTTAAAATGTCAGGTTTCTGTGATGTAAAAAAATGAGACAAAGATAAATTATTTCAGAACTTTCCACCTATTAATGTGACCTATAAACTGTACAACTGAGTTGAAAAACAAGCTGAAATCTTTTAGGGGGGTTGTATAAGTGTGCACACCCTCTTATAACTGGCGATGTAGCTGTCTTCAGAAGTAAGCTATCACTTTCAAAAGCATAAATAGAAGTCAGTACACACCTGTCATCATTTAATTGCCTCTGATTAGCCCCAAATAAAGTTCAGCTGTTCTAGTAGGTCTTTACTGACATTTTCTTAGTCGCATCCTACAGCAAAAGCCATGGTCCACAGAGAGCTTCCAAAGCATCAGAGGGATCTCCTTGTTAAAAGGTATCAGTCAGGAGAAGGATACAAAAGAATTTCCAAGGCATTAGATATACTATGGACTGCAGTGAAGACAGTCATCAAGTGGAGAATATATGGCGCAACAGTGACGTTACCAAGAACTGGACGTCCCTCCAAAATTGATGAAAAGACAAGAAGAAAACTGGTCTGGGAGGCTGCCAAGAGGCCTACAGAAACATTAAAGGAGTTGCAGGAATATCTGGCAAGTACCTGCTGTGTGGTACATGTGACATCAATCTCCTGTATTCTTCATACGTCTGGGCTATGGGGTAGAGTGGCAAGACGGAAGCCTTTTCTTACAAAGAAAAACATCCAAGCCTGGCTAAATTTGGCAAAAAAACACATCTGAAGTCTCCCAAAAGCATGTGGGAAAATGTGTTTATGATCTGATGAAACCAAGGTTGAACTTTTTGGCCAGAATTCCAAAAAATATGTTTGATGCAAAAACAACACTGCACATCACCAAAAGAACACCATGCCCACAGTGAAGCATGGTGGTGGCAGCATCATGCTTTGGGGCTGTTTTTCTTCAGCTGGAACTGGGGCCTTAGTCAAGGTAGAGGGAATTATGAACAGTTCCTAATACCAGTCAAATATTGGCACAAAACCTTCAGGCTTCTGCTAGAAAGCTGAACATGAAGAGGAATTTCATCTTTCAGCATGACAATGACCCAAAGCATACATACAAATCAACAAAGGAATGGCTTCACCAGTAGAAGATTAAAGTTTTGGAATGGCCCAGCTAGAACCCAGACCTGAATCCGATCGATCGAAAATCTGTGGGGTGATCTGAAGAGGGCTGTGCACAGGAGATGCCCACGCAATCTGACAACGTTTGGGGTGTTTTTACAATGGCAAATATTGCCAAGTCAAGATGTGCAATGCTGATAGACTCATACCCAAAAAGACTGAGTGCTGGAATAAAATCAAAAGGTGCTTCAACAAAGTATTAGTTTAAGGGTGTGCACACTTATGTAACCGTATTATTTTAGTTTTTTAAAGGTGGAAAGTTCTGAAATGATTTATCTTTGTCTAATTTTTTTACGTCACAGAAACCTGATATTTTAACGGGGTCTGTACGCGGTTTATATCCACTGTACATAGGGTTAATGACCTGCTTCCCTCCATTACATGAGTGTTTGGGCCTGGGGATTGATTATTCCGGCTGGAGTGCTGAGTCCTGGGGAAAGGAATGCATATTAAATGCTTCCCCATTCCTGTTATCACCTGGTATATCCAAGGGCGCTGCTGAAATAACAAAGTCGGGGAGAGCTTGATGAAATTGAAAATCAGGAGGTGGGATTTCAATACAACTTTACCTATTAAGGGATTTTCTTTTTAAACCGTCTGATAATATTCTATTTATCTTGGTGGCTCTGTTTATTTTACATAATGATGCAACAGGAGACACTTGAACATAGAAGGGGTGTGTGTGTATACACACTTCAAAATAATTTAAGTAACACTTTGAAAACACCAGATCTTAATAGGGAAAAATGTCATGCTAGATATCTACATTGATATGGACTGGATAATGTGTTAGGAAAGTAAGGATGCCCCATTCTTTGATGGAAATGAAAATTATCAACCTACAGAGGACTGAATTCAAAGATACCGCAAAAATGAAAGTGAAAAATGATGCAGCAGGCTAGTCCATTTTGCTGAAATTTAATTGCAGAAACTCAAACTGGTACTCAGTAGCTTTTATGGCCCCCACGTGCTTGTATGCATATTTGACAACGTTGGGGAATGTTCCTAATGAGACGACAGATGGTGTCCTGGGCTATTTCCTCCCAGATCTGGACCAGGGCATATCTGAGCTCCTGGACAGTCTGAGGTGCAACCTGGTGGTGTCGGATGGACCGAAACATGATATCCCAGAGGTGTTCTATTGGATTTAGGTCAGGCGAGCGTGGGGGCCATTCAATGGTATCAATTCCTTCATCTTCCAGGAATTGCCTGCATACTCTCACCACGTGAGGCCGAGCATTGTTGTGCACCACCTGGAGGAAACCAGGACCCACTACAGCAGTGTAGGGTCAGACAATGGGTCCAAGGATTTCATCCCAATACCTAATGGCAGTCAGGGTGCCATTATCTACCCTGTAGAGGTATGTGTGTCCCTCCGTGGATATGCCTTACCAGACCATCACTGACCCATCACCAAAACGGTCATGCTGAAGGATGATACAGGCAGCATAACATTCTCTACGGCTTCTCCAGACCCTTTCACGTCTGTCATATGTGCTCAGGGTGAACCTATTCTCATCTGTGAAAAGCACAAGGTGCCAGTGGCGGACCTGCCAATTCTGGTGTTAAGTGGAAAATGCCAATGGAGCTCTATGGTTCCAGGCAGTGAGCACAGGGCCCACTAGAGGATGTGGGTCTCTTAGGCCACCCTCATGAAGTCTGTTTCTGATTGTTTGGCCAGAGACATTCACACCAGTGGCCTGCTGGAGGTCATTTTGTAGAGCTCTGACAGTGCTCATCCTGTTCCTCCTTGCACAAAGGAGCAGATACCGGTTCTGCTGATGGGTTAAGGACCTTCTACGGCCCTGTCCAGCTCTCCTAGAGTAAATGCCTGGAGGAGTTGGACTGCCTGTGCACCCTCTGTAGAGTCCAGATATCACCTCATGCTACCAGTAGTGACACTGGCCCTAGCCAAATGCAAAACTAGTGAGAAACGGAAAGATGAGTAGGGAAAAAAATGTCAGTGGCCTCCACCTGTTAAACCTTTTCTGTTTTGGGGATCGTCTCATTGTTGCCCATCCAGTGAACCTGTTGTTAATTTCATTAACACCAAAGCAGCAGAAACTGATTAACAACCCCCTCTTCTACATAACTGACCAGATCAATATCCCAGGAGTTTCATTGACTTGATGCTATACTCTGATTAAAAAGTGTTCCTTTAATTTTTTTGAGCTGTACGTGTGATTGGATTATATATATAATTTAAAAAAAAAAATCTGAGTGGAGACATTGGAGTGGAGTTTATGAAATAATAAACCTGTAACTGGGAAATGTTTAATGGCAACCTGTCATAATAGAAGTATGGAAAACACACTGCCGATCTCCTTTTTGAAAGCCCTTGTTCCCTGGTTGTCAAGCAGAACCCCTAGAGTCAGTACTGTTCAAATTACTCAGATACTGTATATCCTTATACTGTAAATCAGGAGTTATGACATTTGGCTGCAAGCTTGTTGTTAAGTCTGTTACCTAAAGTGTTCAAGCCAGAAATAGACAAGCAACTAGCATTTTCGGAATTTCGGTAGTGGTAGCTCTCATGCTTTACTGTTGTGAAAGATGCACTTTATAAACTGTATATAATGGTCATCTTTTAGGTACTCTTCAACATGTGACCTGTGATTTTTACATGTAATCTGTTTGCTGAATTGTCAATATAGGTACATAACATTACATCACGTAATTTGTGTAAATTATGTTTCTCTTTTAAAGCTTTATAGTCTACTGGAAAGAATTAACCCAGACCATAATTTCCCAGTTAGGTAAGACTATTTTTGAATCTAAATTATGATAGTCTACATGTAGCAATTTGTGATGAATATAGGTACAAGTGATTGTGAGCAAGCAAGCAAAAATCAATCGGAAGAGATCTTAAAAATTCCTTTTACAGCTGATTGATTTTGCAGAGTCAAAATTGATCATGAGTTGCTAAATCGACCAAAAGGGAGGTTCCTTGGTCTTCAGTCACTGCCCAGCCCTTAAGACTGAAAGGAAGTGCTGTGATGTCACATCCTTTGTAAACACCATGGATCCACATTTAGTTGAGCTGTGGGGCTTGGAGCTGAACTGCTGCTGTCGCCTACATTCCAAGTGTGTAGCACTGAAAACTGACCGAGACCTACCGAAGTTGCATAGTGTAATGTCCACTGTGCTCCTGACCTCCCTTTTTTTTTTTTTTTTTTTTTTCTTTGTGTCTTGCTTTGTTCAACAGTGTGTTGAATGAAAAAAAAATTATTTGATTCCCCCATTAACACATGGTGTTAATGGGGAAACCCCTTCACAGAGCTATTGTATTCTGACAGTGGGAAGAGTTCCTTGTTGTCAGAATACAATGATCAGTGTTGCCAGCCGATGGCACTGATCAAGGGGAAAAAAAGTCTGACAGGCTGGTTGTACAGAATCGATCGGGAGATTGATCTCTGTACAACCTGCCTGCTCACCTATGGATCTAAGTTTGTCCAGTCCCTCCTAAACCAGACAAATTTCCATCCATCTTTGGCCAGCCTAAACTTTGATTAATCGTGTACAGCAGTTTTTCCAGTAAAATGTTATGTAATATGTTATGGTTGGGTTACACTTGGTGAATTTATGTAAATGGATTTTCGGATACAACCCTAGCCATGTTGTTCAAGGATAAATAGTTACAACTGACATTGTACATGACATACTAGTGATAAAAGTCACAAGGTGTTTTTGTTCTCCTGGAAAAAAAAATTCAACAAAAATTAATGTTTCATTTGTGTGAACTAACACAAATGTTCATTTTTATAATTCTGAATTACTGCATTGTTTTTGACTTAATGTTTTTTTTTTTTTTTTTCAATTGTGTGACAACTGTGCTAACTAAAATTTTCTCTTTTAGCTCACACTGCCTCCGTGCTGCAGCCTTTTACATCCGTGGATTATTCTCGTTCTTCCAAGGCAGATACAATGAAGCAAAGTAAGCAATATAAGAAAAGGGATTGTGTAAATGGTATCCTTCCCTCTGCAAATGAGAATTTGTGCACCATTATAAAGCCTAAAACATATAGAAACATTGGTGTACATTATCTGTATTTCAGTCATGTTGATTTGTGATCTTATATTGCTCCACATGACAGAAACACAGATAATCAAATTTGCTTAAAGCAAAACTTTACTTTTACAAGAAGTTCCACTGATTGCATGGCAAGCAGAAAATGCACCAAAAACGCATATTTGTGTTTTACAGCTTTTTTTTTTCAATGGAGCAACGTGAAAGGGCTCAGTATTTGTAGCTGCTGATTTTTAATTTGACCTTTTTTTTTTTTTTTTTTTTTTTTTTTTTTTTTTTATAAACTGAAATTCCTCTTGAATTACGACAGTGTGACTGACCAGTTGTGCTAACCTGTTTTAGTAAACATTTAGTAGCTATTATGCCTATTGAAATAACACATATACCAAGGCTCTGTCTTCAGTTTCAGGACTGGTAAAGGATTTAAGTTTTCTGGGTGTATTACAGAATAAAAACAATGAATATTTTTACCCCACAATCAGCACTGCATATCTGTGTTTACTTTTTGCAGACGATTTTTACGAGAAACCTTAAAGATGTCAAATGCTGAAGATCTCAACCGACTTACAGCATGTTCCTTGGTGCTCCTTGGTCACATCTTCTATGTGCTGGGGAATCACAGGGTAGGAATACTGTTTTTTGTAATGCATTTCTGAGTGTTTAGCTTTTGTTAAAGTGTATGTATATAAACTCAATTCCTAAAATCTTGCCTTTACTTATATCTTTACAATAAAATCAGATTAAGAAGTGCTTGATGTGCCTGCAATATACAATCTATTTAAAGTTGATACCCAGCAATGTGATCACTGCAACTTCTTAGCAGAACATTACCATTTTTGTGTGCAGCTGGGATTTGCATTTTCCCCAAATGCTCTGTCAAACCGGCTTTTAATGGAGATTGCAAGTGGCTTTTTTGGGTTTCATTACAGATTATTCAGGCATAGTCTACTGTTGTCACCATCTGGAAACCCATCCTGAGATATGCTATGTAGACACCACAATACATTTTTACATAAAGATGCTTACTTTTGCCCATTTCAGAACCAGTGAGATATTTGAACCTGGCATAAAAATGGCAATTGCAGTTTGACTGTCTTCATCTGATATGGCTATGGGGAAACTGTTTTAATACCAGACTGTTTTAATATTAAAAACAAAAATGCGTTCGTCCTTAGATAATGCATGTTTCAAGAGCTACAAATTGGTTTGCACCACGTCATTGTTGTACGTTCACTGATTCCTGTACATGACTAGAAATCCACAAGTCTCATTCCCCCTGACCCCATTATCAAGTTACTTTCACACACAGAAAACACTTCTTACTAGAGTACTCACACCATTTTTTGCATGCTTTCTATAGAGATTAAAAATCTAGTGCTATTTTTGTACTGTAGAGCTTAAAAATTCAGGATATCAACATTTCTATGATTTTGTAAGCATTATGTATTGAACAACATCTGAACCCATTGGCAATGTCTGTATGCTTTATGATTTGAGTCACAGCTACACTTCACTATCTCATGATTTGTTGATGAGCAGGTATCTCTCTTGAGCAGGGTATACACGGACCAAAAATCAGCTGGCTGAGCAGGAACTGGCAGAATTTTGGTATGTGTACCAGTCTGTTCAACAGAAGCCATTCTAATGACTGGCTTCTGTTGAATGCTCCTGCTGGAAAACCAGCATTTGAATCCGTGCTTGCAGCCGTTGGCTGCAGCTCTGATCTGTGTATTGATGGGGAGAGATCCCTGCGTCCACATTGCTTGTGAGTTTTTTTTTTTTTTTTGTTTTTTTTTTTTTTTTTTTCCATTCACCCCTTTTTTAAGCTGACCACTGAGCAGGTCTGGAAGTCACCTAGAGTGGTTTGTTTTCTGGGCAGTGTATAACTCAAGCTGGAAAGGTATTATATTGTAGCACTTTGTATAAAGCATGTCTGTCAACTGCTATGACCGAGTAAAGTATAATTATTCTACTGTGACAGGAATTACTGGATATCTTTTATATTTAGAAAATTGAACAATCTGTTCAAGGAAACAGTGTTAAACACGTTTTCCTTGCACAAATTCTTACTTTTTTTAAATATAAAAGAAGGCATAGTTATCTAATAATTCCCCAAGTGGTTCTAAATGCAAACTTTTTTTTTTTTTTTTTTTTCCCCTCAATGCATTTTCTGCATTATAAGCAATCATAATTTTAAATTCTGTTTTTTACAATCCTAGTATATAACTTGTAATGCCAAACATTAGAGCTTTTTATTCACACCTTTTCTCTTGTGTTTTTGTGTGAAATAAACAATTGTGCATTTTTGTGTCCTGCCATTGTCACAGCGTGTTGATGCATCAAAAGTTGGACAATGCAGGTCATTGCTTCACATAGATCTGAACTAGCACTATTTTAAACAATGGCTAATCTGTGTAAATGTGTTGACCTGCATCAAAATGTACGGGTGTATATGGGCCCCTATTGACCACTATGAAAACATTTATGCACAGAACGGATAGTGTAGAATAATGAAAATCATGGCTCCACATTATGGAGAATTCTTTAAAAAGAAACTATTGAGAACATTATTTGGCTGCATCATTTGTTAATAATTGGTAATTTGCAGTCGTAAGAGGGGTATAAAAAAAAAAGCATGCAATTTCAGCTTGCAGACAAGCTCAGAATTTAAAGCAGCGTTCCAATCAAACAAAAAAAAAAGTCCAGTAGCTACAAAAACTGTACTTGCTGACTTTTCAAAACCAGTCTTAGCTGTCTCAGGATCCAGCAGTGTACTTGCTTCCGGCATTTTAGGTGTGGGCACCTGGCTGTAACTACTTCACAACCAGGTTCCCACTGCACGTGCATGAGTAGCACCGCTCCATGTGAATGGTCCTGTAGTCTTCTGGGACCTGTCACGTGTCCCAGAAGACTACGGGGAGGGAAACGTCCTCTTCTGATTGCCTAGGCGATTGCAGTAGAAATGGAAGTGAGTACCTATCAAAATTGGGTTCCTGCTCCCCACTGGAGCCAATTTCAGGGAGTGGGGGACCAGTACTTAATACTTCCCCTTTTAGGGAAAGTACAGATAGTGTGGAAGAGTTGTTGTTTTGAGGGTTTTTTTGGGGGGGGGGGTTTTCAGTAAAACTTGACAGAGTTAAAGTACTGTTTGTCTTCCCATAATTCCTTATACACTTGGTGGTATAACAGACAATAAGTGAAAATCTCCCTAATTTGTGTTACAAAGATTAATAAGACACCACACTGCCCAAACAAACTAATTCTTGAGTATCCATTTTTGCTTGAGTTTTCCTTTAACACAGTTGCATTCAAGTATATATGTATAATTGTGAATCAACTGTTGACATAGTTTTACTATACATTTTAAGCATATTTTTAGGTTTGTTATTTGTAATGAATCTTGATGGAAATTGATATTAGCTAAGGTTTTGTTTTTTTTTTTAAATTCACCTTTTTGTCCTTTATTTTTCCATTAGGAGAGCAACAATATGGTTGTCCCTGCCATGCAGCTGGCCAGCAAGATCCCAGATATGTCTGTGCAGCTCTGGTCCTCTGCTCTGCTAAGAGGTATGAACACATTTTAAACCGCCTTCAGTTCATAACCAGTTCAGAGGGGTATTTTATTGGTATCACAATATGGCTAGGTGCACTGCTGCCTAGATTAGATTGCTTGTTGTACATAAATGTATGCAGTCCCATGCAGCAGCACCATAACTATTTAGACATTCCTTGGAATTCATAAAGACTTCGGCAGACAGATTTTAGTCAAAGTTTTCTCTCGTGTGTTCTAAAAGTGGTGTAGTGTGCACCAAATTCATGTACCGGTCTATAGCTTGTAGTTGGATTTGGCTCATGCTGCACCACTTTTAGAATGCACGCAAGACACTTTCACGAAATCTCTCTGCACCAGTTTCTCTTTTTACGCTACAGGAGTTGCTCCACCTTTTGTAAGCTACAAACGGTTGGTATTTTATTTTTAATTTGGTGCCTTCAGTGTAGAAGTGGTACATTCAATGTGCCACAATGTAAATTGGCCCATTTTAGGACTGTCTGAATTTGGTGCACAAGTCCCTGTCCAAACCAAGTTTCGCAGATGCTTCAAAAATTAGGCACAATACCTTAATGAGGGATTAATGCAAGAAAAGTCTCATCAGTTTTATTGAATTCCTCCCATTATGTTTTTAGTGGTTTGTTAGAAATTTGTAATTTCAGTGTTCCTTTGATTACCTAAGAAAGAGGACAATTTTGATGCTTGGTTACAACCAGAGCAAGTGAAAAAAAATGGACAATGAAGGGCACTTATGAAAAATTTGTTGTATGTAATGGGAACTAACACATTTCTAATAGTTAAGTTTGCTTCTGGCTAAGAGAAATCGTAACTAGTCCTATGCCCATGCACTTGTCAAAGTTAATTCAGAAGTGGAACGGATGTTCTGCGATAATTGTGACCTTGAAATAGAACTCCAAGGAAAAGTTCAAAATTAGTTAGTCAGATAAGTGACTTTTTGTTTTTTTTTTATATATATATATTTTTTGTTCAAACAAAATTCTACAGTTGTAAGGCCAGCATTACACAGGGCTTACTGTCCAGTAATCCCATTGGAGGATCTGTATAGTCACAAGGAAGCCTATTGTAGCCTAAAATGACTGACAGAATAATAGGATACAAGTATCTTTTGGTGTTAAACTGGTGTGGTTTGGTAACCTTGATGGAGAGAGTGTATTCTTAAAGAGCTATGCTTTACCTCCTGTAAAACTGCTAGTCCCTTTGTGTTTAGATGAGGTGTATTTTTAGTTTACAGGTCCTTTTTTAATATGTGAATAGTTCTCAATTCCTGGTCTTAAAGTGATTTTTTTTTTTTTTTTTTTTTCTTAATAACAAATCCCAATTCCTCATGTAACAAGCGAATGTTTTTCCCAATGTATCTGTCACATGCAGATCTGAACAAGGCATGTGGAAACACAATTGATGCCCATGAGGCAGCACAGATGCACCAAAACTTCTCTCAGCAGCTGCTCCAGGATCATATAGAAGCATGTAGTCTTCCAGAACACAATCTCACAACGGTTAGTATTATACAATCTGTTTTCTTTTTCTTGTGTTTCCTGAATGAAGATGTAGAAAACGCCTACATTTTTGTTCAAGTGTATTGAATCACATTTAAAGGCTAAGTTCACCTTTTGTGAAAATAAATAAATGCATATCTTGTGCAGTAAAAAAAAAAAAATAAATTTACATTTTATTTATTTTTTTTTTCTCTGCGGTCTTTAAAGCATTGCACCTGCGATCAGCAGATCACAAGTGCAATGCCAGGATCCTTCAGACACATCAGCTGTGTGCCCATATTACCAATATAGGCAGTTACTGAATGGCAGGAAGAATCAATTAACTACAAGCGCACTCATCAGTGCCCTCACAGTTCATTGAGAACTACAAGCCATCAGCGGCAGCAGCCGACAATAGTTGTAGTACATTTATTCACACAACTCTGAAAAGGTGACGCAGCCGTGTCGGAGCCCCACACAGCCTTGCTGTTTTTGAATTGTGACCGTGGGTGCAGGGAGAAGATCCCCTGCCCATTGTCACAGGGAGAAGGGGAATCAGATGTAGAAGGTGCAGGAGCTGGAATATGTTACATGTCCCACCCTAAATGTAACATTTTTCCAAAGGTTAACTTTTCCTTTAAATAGAAAGCTTGTAATGTCTTTTCTGCTGAAAACAAACCTGCCTGCCTTTTTGCCATTTTTGGAATGTACACAGAGCTGCATATGTGACACCTTGTTATTAGAATGAATTCATTATGCATGTGTCGGAATTAATGTCATTCTCCCTCCAGCCAATCAAAGCAGAGGAGTACTGTCTCAGGATTTTGGCGCCCCTTTTGTGTCCCTTTTTTGTTCTGGTTTATACAGTGTCTTAGTGAAAATTTTTGATCTGTACTCAAGTAAACTGTTTGTCGGAAGGATTCATCTAAGGTTATTCAGTGTTTATGAATTTAATTTCTTCCAGTGGACAGATGGATCACCACCTGTACAATTTCAGGCTCAGAATGGACCCACTACCAGCTTGGCTAGTCTTTTGTGAAAGCTAAACCCATCTAAACAATACCACGAACTGATCCAGCACTCACTGAACAGGATTCTTCTGTGTCCAGAACTGTGGAAAGTCAGCACCTGCAAGAGAATTCACAATACATTTGAATTCAGTTCTGGAAGTGTTAAAGGATGTTGTGGACTTGCCAACAAAGGAATTTCTAGTGTCCTCTGTTCAGAGACTCCATGTTTTGGAGACCGAGCTACATGCTGCATAATTCTGACACTCCCCTTGTCTGCAAGCGATACTGGCTCCCTCCCCAAGTGCATGGTGCGTGGCAAAGGTTATACCTTCCCTTTTGCACGATAAGGGGTAATAGAATTTGGAACAATATTTTTTGTGCTATATTTAATATCTGCCTTCAGCTTTGTTTCCCTTTATGGAATAGATTTAACAGAGAAGGGCATTTTTAGATTTTATATTCATAAATATATATATATAATACTATCAATGTTTTAAACTTTTGCTGCACACAAATACGGTTTTTGGGGTAGTTGGAATGACTCTTTCCCTCTTCTCCATTCTCCCTTTTGGATAAATTATATTTTCTTGGGGAATGGTTTTAATATTTGATATAGTTTTGTAGGGGATCATCACATTACCCTTTGACTGCTAGGACAAGATGGCTGACGAACCATTAAATCAATACGAGACTGGTGAATATTTAGCAGTTTAAGGCAATTGAGGCCTGCTTTTTTTAAATTATCAGCAGATATGTTAAAGCCTTTTTATTTACCATGCAAATACTTTTAAATCTCGTACCTTGAAGAATATTAAGCAAATTTTAAAGTTCCTTTTGTTTTCCTGTTCCACACATTTATGAAACCGATACCCATGTTTCCATGTACTTGTTGTTGTGGTTTCCATGAAACAGCCATTGTCACTCCCTAACATCACTACATGTTTGCAGCAGTGTCAATTAGACCCAAGTTTTTAGGACACAGAGGATGAAGTGGTGTCATTTTGTTTTCTATTCTCGGCTATATCTTCTGGCTTGTTAACGATACTACTAGTTATGTATTTTAACATTTTTAGCTGTACATGATATCACTGAGCAGTAGAAATGTAATATTATCAATGGTTCCTCCATTTTATTTAATATATTTAATGTATATGACCCCCTTGTTTAATAGCCATTAAAGCTCAAACTCTATTTTTCAGAGATGATGTAAGCTGTGCCTCCATTGGCTTTTTTTTCTAAAGTGGTCAATCCCAGAATTATGGTCTAAAATTGTTTAAAATGTTTGCAATGTTCGCAGTGATGATCTGGTTTTACTACTTGGCAAGCAGTGGGATTAATTGTTGTTTCCCTCCTAATCTAGCAACCCTTTTCCAGCCATTAAGAGACCATTAGCAAGCTTTAATAAAATAGAACTCTTCTTTTTTTTTTTTTTTTCTTCAGATTTAGGTACATCATGGCAAGAGGTTGATTCCTTACCTTGTGTCCTCTCTTTCCTTGCCAATGAATGAATGATTATCCCCCCTACAGTACAGTCATGTTGAAACTGATTCCTTTGTCATCTGCAGATGTCAGTTCTCCATGTATCTTAGGGATAAGGCTCTAGAAGGCAGGGGGCATGAAAAAGTGCTGAGGCATGTCCTACACCATTGATATATCATCTGCCATCTAGTGAATTCTCCTGTTTATGGACAATATGAATTTATTAATCACATAGCTTGCATCTTGACCAGATAGATATGGTGTTAAGTAGGTTGTGGTTGAAATATCTCAGCCAAAGTCCAGATGCGCTGTATTGATCTTGTGATTGGATCAATCCTCACCCTACACCACATAAAATCTCCAACTCTCCAAAATATGCAAAACTGCATCGAATTGTTGGCCTCCAGTTCATGCTACACTGAATCCCCTGCTTCAGTGTGTTATGTATGTTGAAATGTGTTTTCAGACTCTATTAAGGATAAAATCCAGGCAGAAGTTCTCGCTTGCAGTGGGGCTGTGCCTGCTCTTTTTTTTGTCCAGAGGAGAGATGAAGGGAGATGGTTACCTGATCCTCCCTGCACAAGACTGGTCCCTACAGCTCTTATTCCAACGCCCTAGCAGTCTTGAGCGGTGGACTGTCCCTGACGCCATCAAGCCCAGATCAGACTTCATAGACCTGCTTCAGACGTGCGGATGCCAGGAACAACCCACAGCTGGATTGGGGGGAGGAGCGCCCTTTTGCTGGTAGAGGAACAGGTGAGTAGAAGGCTTTCTTCTCTCCCCTGGACAAAACAAGCACTTGTAACCTTTGCACTGCTGGAACAGTCCTACTATAAGGGCTTGTGTTTTTTGCCCAGAGTTGGGCTTTAACGCCTCCAACAGGGATTATTCTCAATCCCTGTGGAACACACAGAAGCAAAATGTGGGTTTCATTGGCTCTTTTAGAACTACAAGGCTTAGCATGCCCTGTAAGCCTGTCATATACAGGCAGCCTACGGGGCTTTATTGTAGCTATAGCCTACGGTGGCTGGAGATTAACTGGTTGCCTGTGAAGAGAAAGTGGAAATATGGCATATTGCAGTCTGATTTTTAGCAGTCCTTTTTCTAGTATGGATTTGAAACCTGACAGACTGCTGATAGCATCGTAATATGAGTCTGGGAAAATTTCACAGTCAGGTAAACTATATATCTGAAAAGGTGTGTATTTTTGTTTTTTTTCTTTTTGTTTGTTTTTTTTCTGTTAACCACTGCAAGCATATGTACCCCTGGTTCCAAAAAACTGCCAGTTGTTGGTAGACGATCGTTGGGCTCCAGAATTACGCAATCAATTTTATTTACCTTCAGTAATGACATTTTTGAGGACTTCCGTTTTTTTTTTGTTTTACCAATTAAAAAAAGGATGTCATAACTGAAGTTAAGCGAACTGGGTTCATGCTGACATTTGAATAGTTTGAAGGACCAGTACTGGAAAAGATATATTGTATTCTGCTAACTGCATGTAGTTGTCATGATGGTATTTGCCATGCATGTTATTTATTTCACATGCCCCATTTTTTTTTTTTTTTTTTTTTTTTGCATTTACATGCTTACCATACTGTGTTGCAATGTGGCTGGCAGAGGTTGCAAGAACCAGGGGTGCTTATAATAGTAACTTCACATGGCTTAAATCCTCTGTAGAAAATACAAGCAACTTGGTCTACATGTAAATATATGCATGTGAAATTGAAAAAAAAAAAACAATCACATAAAGGGATGTAGTGGGTTCTTACATTATTTATTTTAAAATTTGCCCTCATTAAAGTTTCCCTTTTTAACATACTGAATACCTTTTTAATGCATGTATTAATTGCATACAGAAATCAAATATCTGAATGTTTTACAGCAGTGCCCATGTAACTGGATGATTTGCTCAGCCATGACACATGTATTACTTACCAAAAAGAATCAGATTTTAATCCATGTGACTGCAATTTTCAGTTTGTGTTGCAGAAAAGAGCAATTGTTATATTTTAGTGAATTCAGCCTTCTGCCTCCATATAAGTCCTATTAAAGCAAATCTTTTGCCAAGAAGGAAAAAAATAATCCAGCCTGCAAAAATAATTTACTGTCCTGCCAACCATGCCTCAGATTTTAGGTTTCTTGCAGAATTGCAGTTGCTAAGAAGCTACTGCGTTTGACATTTTCCAGATGTGTCAGATGCCTGTATGCTGTGCTGTATACTGTAGATCCACCTGCTGGCCTCTAAGTCACTAGTGTGTCTTTAAGAAATACAGACTGGGCTCCTTAAGAAATACAGACTGGGCTCCTTATTTTTTTTTTTTTAGCTTCATAAGTGCTGAAATGTCTGTGTTAACATGTTCAGGCAGCTGACAGGGCAGCCACTGTAAGATCTCAGAGGGCAAGGTGACTTCAAGAGTCGGCCTCTGATAAATAATGTAATTCTAATGGGGGGGAATACAGAGAAGTCTTATACAATGCTTATATCCTTGCCTAAGCCTTTTTGTGACTGGTTCTCTTTAAAAAACGAGAAGTGCAAAAGCATTTATAGCTCCAAAATATTATGTAAGGCTGCAGAGCATTGCCCTATTAAGTAAACATGCAATTTATCTGTTCTTGCTATTATAGGACCACTGGTATATTCACCTTGAGTAGATGCGTTGATGTGCATTTTATTCATAATATCTCTACAAATTGCTAGATCTGCCTTCTTGCTGCAGCCCTTATAAAGTGATCTCTTTTTGATTGAAAACCCATGAGAAGAGAGCCAGAAATTCTGGTTGGTACAGTTGTTTTTAAAAGTGCCATATGATTGCCTTTTTTTAATCCTGTAACTGCCTACCACAATCTGAAAACAGCCCATGATGTAGACAAGGTGGTCTTCCCACCTCTTTCTTTAGCATTGTTTTTTTGAGGGAAGCCTTTTGGTTAGGTTATACTGCTACTACAGGATTGGAGCACTGGGGAAAAAAAACTGTAAGCTAGCCCAGGAATATTTGCTCCTGCCAGCATGACTTTTTTTTGTTTTTGTTTTTTTTGTTTTTTGCTTTTTTTTTTTTTTTTTTTTCTTCTTGCTAGTGTCCTAGGTGAAAGCACTTTTTTCAGTTCTGTTGTGTAAAAATTAACCTGATTTTGCTAGCACCCTTTCTTGTTACTCGTTGCAGCTATCCAGCATTGCTCTCCTGAAGCTGGCCATAGACTGATCAAAACTGCATTTAGCAGGGGCAGGACGAATCCCAATCAGTGTATGGCTGTCCCTGCTTTACAAAAAGTTGATCAATGGGACATGCTAGAACACTTCTCTCGATCAACAGCTGCAACGAAGGATCCCACACTATACACATCCAGTCTAGGACTTAAAATCCATCAAGTCCAACACATCCTGGTGCTTCTGGTGTAACTTTGGATCATCCAGCTGGAGGATCTCCTGATCCAGATTGAGTTGGATAACGCCACGGTGATGGCATTCCTCAACCATCAAGAAGAAATCAAGTCTTACTGTGGCATGAGAAGTAGATTGCATCCTGTGCTTGGGAGAATTTTTCACATTCCA